TAACATACATTTATTTGTCAATCTTTTGTTAAAGTGCCCAGTTCTTTTCTTTGAGTGTATGTCCACTGACTGTGGGACTCAGTGGTCTTTCTTTTATAAGCTATCCTCAAGGCATCATCCTCTGGTCCAATTCTTTACAGAACGGTAAGGCTGTAAAGACACCTGGGAAGCAATGCATGGTGGACAGCATTCATCTTCCCAAAGGCCCGATATCCCTCTCTACGGTCAGATCACATGTCCCCGCCTTGCCAAATACAGGCACATAGCCAATGAGTGCTTCATGGCAGCCTCTCCCTCCACTGCAGGGACCATCAACGTTCCAGACACTGCTCCACCAGACTGTCCTGGAGTAAGGATAAGGACAACATGGAGCAGACCCTCCCCCTGGTCCATGACGGACATGCAGTATGAACACAGATTACTGTGCTTTGAGCAGCTAAGATTGAAGTTTTACATAAGCACAACTTAACCCATCAGTCCTGAATGACTGACAATATTAGTGAAAATACGTTTATTTTACGATCCTCCAAATCCTTTACAGTTATCTCAGCCACTCCTAAATGGACTGCAATCATTTTTAGAAACTCACTTTTACTAGGCAGTTTCCAAAGCATTCAAATAAATTTTCACAGAAACAGCAATTCTTTTGCCTATATATTGAAAATCATTGTATAAATTATAATAATAAGCACAACTGCATACACAGGTTTGAAAATAAACACAGTTGAGTCTGGATAAGCACACATCTCAACTGGTGGGAAGAGAAACTCAAGAGCACACTACAGGGTAGCCCTCTAACTTAGAGCATTAGTTTGTTTGGGGCATCAGTTGATATACTTTACAAAGGGGAAAAAAGAACACCCACTAATCCAGCAAGTCGGGAGGTTGCTAAGAGCTTGTACTGTTTTCTAAAGCTGTGTGCTAGATAATTATAAGAATGAATGGTACTATCATATTCCCAAGTTAAAAATCTGGTTAGCTTTTCAAAACTATATCCAACTACCATATTTATTCTGTCCCAAATGTACAG